AGCCAATGTCTACTTTTTTGCCTCTCCGCCTCATGTTGCTTCGGTGAACAAGTCTCGAGGCATCTATCACGATTCTGTCAACTGGCCTAGGCATGGAGTCATTGATGTGAAGGCTTCATTTCTGATCGCTACCTCGGCCAGGCCACTGGTGGAGAGGTTTGTGGGCTCGAGCTGAGGCGAAGCCCGTGGACTCTTCACGCTCATAGTAGTTGTCATGATTCCCAGCGAATAAAAGTTGGGTTTCGAAGACTCTCTACTTTCATAATTGTTGAGCTTACTTCCATTTCGAGCGAAAGACTTGGATTGGATTTGGTTGTGACGTTGATACTTTGCTCTGATGATGTTCGTCATATGACGGACGAAAGCTTAGCACCTTTTCACCGGACTCGGAGGAGATTGCCTCAGAAACAGCGTCAGCATGAATCTTCCAGTAAAGCCAATCGACAGCTGCTCAAGAGGAATCCGCCGTCGTCTTCTGGTGGAACCGACTTTTGAATCTCTTCACACAACACTTTCACTCAAAATGAAAGTAAACTCAATAAATCCTAGCATCAAACAGTGGACTTGGTACATTCTCAAGCCTTTTGTTATCTCACGTACGCACGACTTACAACAATCATTTAACGCAGGGCCACTGGCGAGTATGACTCATCTGCACTCTTGGTTCTCATCAGCCAATCAAATTTCGCCATTGCATCGAGCCCACCTCTGGACCTATCAAATCGGGCCCTTTTTAACCAATCAGGATCTGGAATTCAAATTGCCTCCGTTCGCCACGACTGCCCTCTTTGATCTGGCCTGATTCTGTCGTCAAATCCGCCGCTGTCCGCCGCTTTCCGCTGTGGCCCACCTCGAGTTCGTCCCGTAGAAAGTACCCATGCTTATTTCGTCCTTGGCCTGGAACCTCTCATTCCGACAGCGTCGTATCTTCGACATGGTCCCCATCCTTCTGGATGTTACGCGTGCCACAATGCCATTCACCTCGCCTCTCTTCCGCATCTGCAATGGTACCAGTCGGTCGAACAACAGCTCTGTCCCAAGCAAAGTCTTCTAGGGACTGCTTCTCCTCTTCTGCTGCTACAGGACCACACTTGCCCAACAGAAACAATGCGACTTCATCGCAGGGCCGACTTCAAATCAGTGCAACCAATTCGCGTTGGGCCTTCGCAGCGCCTTATTCATTGGCGTCTCCACGTTGACTACGCACCTCCAGCCGGCTCTTTTGGTTGACCCACTCCAGCCTCTCGGTCACTCACCTTCGTCACGACCAATTAGCTTTTTACATCTTCTGTTAACTATGCAAC